CCTGTGTAGTGACCAGATTCCTGGTTTTGAAAGCAGAGACAGATGTCCAAGGCCACACCCTCTCCCAGTTTCCCATGGAAGTCTACGTGAAAATAAAGAACTAAAAAAAAAAAACACAAAAAAACTGATGAACAAATTGTGGTATATTCTCTCAATAGAATGCTACTCAGCCATAAAAAAAAGAAGCAATTACTGACATTTAAAACAACATGAATTTCAGAAATACTCCATGCGTGGTTGATAGAAACCAGACATCAAAACATACTAGTATATGCTTTTATTCCGCCTCTCTGAAATTTTCGCATAAGTAAAAAAAATCTACAGCAATCGAAGCCAAAACCTTGATTGCCAAATACCACCCCATTAGGGATGAGGTTTCAACATATGAATTTGGAAGAAGAAACTAATGTGCAGTCTATAGCAGCTCTAACATACTTACAACATGAATGAATTTCAGAACTACTCCATGTGTGGTTGATAGAAACCAGACATAGAAACATACTAGCATATGCTTTTATTCTGCCTCTCTGAAATTTTAGAATAGGTAAAAAAAAAATCTACAGCAATAGAAGCCAAAACCTTGATTGCCAAATACCACCCCATTAGGGATTAGGTTTCAACATATGAATTTGGAAGAAGAAACAAATGTGCAGTCTATAGCAGCTCTAACATACTTTATTTATCTTATTGATGATGTCTTCCCTGACTAAAGCATAAGCTCCAAAGGACAAGGCCTATCTTTATTTTGTTCACTGATTATTTCCAGCCTAGAACTACGCCTGGCACATAGTAGGTGCTCAATAATGACTTACTGACTAAAACGAAATTTACCAACATAAAATAACAAGCTCAGAGCAAATACCGGGGATGTTATTCTTCACGCAGGACCGAAATGGTTGACTGCTGCTTTCTGTTAAGACATTCATTTTATGTGTCAATGCAAGTGTACCTCATTGTCATACTATTCGAGTACTCTTTTGTAAAGTGTATTTAAATATTTTCCCCCCAAGTCTTCTAGACCTGAGTATGATTACCTTATTCAAAGCATGTCCAACGTGAGGATCACCATTAGCATAAGGAGGTCCATCGTGAAGACAAAATTCTGTCTTTACTTTTCTTTCTCTCTGCCATGAGTAGAGTTCTGAAAATCCACATTTCTGTTTAAAAAGAATGATAATGTCTGAATGTCGTATAAACACATACTCCTGAGTCTTACCATGAGGAACAGCCAGCACGTATTTCTTATCTCATTCCAACATCTTTAACTCTAAAACACAAACGGTGGTGTTTCTGAAATGTACATCTGAGTACTTTTTTTATTGAATTGATTAGGGTGAGACTGGTTAGCAATATTATACAGGTTTCAGGTGTACAATTCTATAATACATCATCTGGATATTGTATTGTGCATTCACCACCCCAAGTCAAGTCTCCTTCCATCACCGTTTATCCCCCCTTTATTCTCTTCTACCTGCCCCCTTCCTTCCGGTAATCATATTGTTGTCTGTGTCTATAAGTATTGATTTTTAGAGAGAATGGAAGGAAGGGGGAGAGACAGAGAAACATCGATGTGAGAGAGACAGACACATCGATTGGCTGCCTTCCACACGCCCCCAACTTGAGGCTCAAATGGAGCCTGAAACTAAGGTATGTGCTCTTGACTGGAATCAAACCCATGACCCTTCAGTCCAAGGACGCACGCTCTATCCACTGAGCCACACTGGCTAGGGTGAGTTTGGGTTTTTCTTTTGTTTTGTTTTTTTGCTGAATCCCTTCAGGTTTTCCACCAGCCTCCTTAACCCCCTTCCCCTCTGACAGGTGAGGACTCTCTTAAAACCTTTTAATAGTCGCCCTCACAGACTTCTGATTAAATCCCAGCCCTTGCTACTCTCCAAGTCTGAGACAACATGCAGGGCAATCTACTACATGACCTTGGCCAACTCAACTTTGCCCTAATGGGCCTGTTTTCCTCCTTTGAAAAAAAACGTTAACATCTACTTGGCGTGAAAATGAAATAAGAGAACATCTGAAACGGTCACAGTTCCTGGAATACAGAAGGTCCTGGATAAAACGCATTCAAAAACTAGGTGCCGCCCTGACCGGTTTGGCTCAGTGGATAGAGCGTCAGCCTGCGGACTCAAGGGTCCCGGGTTCGATTCCGGTCAAGGACATGTACCTTGATTGCGGGCACATCCCCAGTAAGGGGTCTGCACGAGGCAGCTGATCGATGTTTCTAACTCTCTATCTCTCTCCCTTCCTCTCTGTAAAAAATCAATAAAATATATTTTTAAAAAATTAGATACCAGAACAAGTTGATGAGTCTAGAACGCGGATAACTGTCATATGTAAGCTAACCGAAAGTTGCTTAACCAATATATCCCAAGTGTCATGGGATTTAAAGACTCTAAGAGTGGTTCTCAACCTTCCTAAAGCCGTGACCCTTTAATACAGTTCTTCATGTCGTGGTGACCCCCAACCATAAAATTATCTTCGTTGCTACTTCATAACTGTCATTTTGCTCCTGTTATGAATCGTCATGTAAATATCTGATATGCAGGGTGTATTTTCATTGTTCACGACCCACAGGTTGAGAACCGCTGCCTAGAATGAAACTAACTTGTATCTCTGCCCTTTAGAATATTCGATTGAATACAGGAGGCAGTCACCTAGTTTGGGAAGCAACTCAGAGAGAGTTAAGTGTCACCCCTCTGTCCGGCAAACAAGTCATAAGTCCAACCAGGGATCTATTAACACCACAAAGGCGAGCTTCCACTTGTCCTCATAACCAAACATTTTTTTTAAAATTTTTTTTATTGATTTCAGAGGAAGAGAGGGATAGAAACATCAGTGATGAGAGATAATCATCCATGAGCTGCATCCTGCACGCCCCCTTCTGGAGATTCAGCCCGAAAGCCAGGTATGTGCCCCCAACGGGAATAGAACTGGGACCTCCGGGTTCATAGGTCGAGGGTCAACCACTGAACCACATCGGCCGGGCACTAACCAAATTTTTATTTCTATGTGAACAGAGTCATTCACTTTTTACAAGCCGCTGGGAAAGTATCCACACTGGTCTGTTTTGCCCAAGCGGAACATGGGACTTAGGTTTCACCCCCTTTAAGATTCTGCTCGGGAACCTGCGGCCGCTTAGGGACTCTTACCTCCAGGTTCTTCACTGAGGTTTCAGGCAGAAAGCCCGTAAGAAGTGGGTGGTTTAGTGGGTGGTTTCCACTCATCTGATCTCTCTCTCACACACACACACACACACACGCACCCCAAAGGGGCCTGGAGCCCGCGGGCCTGTCCCGCGCCCTCCCCGCCCAGCGG